AAAAACACTTCTGCAACACTCAGTCTAAATTTGCAAAAAGACAACCTTAAGGCCTTGATTTCTAGCTTATTTTTTAGGTCTAAAATTTGTGTCATCTTTGCATTGCCAAAAAAAAAAAAGAAAAATGTCAGTTCTTAGCGGAACGATGGTCTCCTGTGTCCTCTCTCTGCTTTAGTAAACTGAAGAAGCTTTAAGAGACAGAAGCTTTTTTAATAAAAGGCCTTTTTTTTGTTAATCCACTTTAACTCATACGTGGAGAAGAACAGATCTTTGACAGCTTTAGATCAAAACAAACAAAATGAAAATGCAGCCTATAAATGTCATTAACCTGCTTGTGTCTCACAACAAGTGCATTTTGTTTGAATGTGATTTTGTTAGTTTGATATCTTCCTGTTTTCTTTCAGCTTTTTTGTGTTAGTGAAGGGAACGTATGGAATATTTCCATTTGTATAAATATTTTGCCACCAGTTAAAGTTGCCAACATTTAATTTTCTGTTACAGAATCTCATTGTGAACGCCAAAAAGTTAATCCACACCACAAGAAGCAAAACTCGTCTCATTGGCTTTAGTATTGGGTTTCAAAATAGTTGTGAATTTTTTCCACTTGATGAATAAATTCTAGCTGCTGATCTGTTCGAGAAACTTGACATTCAACCTTTAGTGGCTTGTGATGGGTGTTTGTTACAGAGTAGCTGTCAGGAGCAGGTTTTACAGGCTGACAGCTGGACGAGGAGGATGTCTAATGTGGCGACGTGCAGCACATGACAGCGTGTGCAGAGGAGCATTGATCCATTTTGGGTCCCGAGCTTGGAGCTTATGAACGGGTCAGATTTGAATGCTTCACAGTAAGAGATGTTTGATTTTAGTTGATTGTGTTTGGATATCAATAAAGCATTCCTTTAAAATTAAGAGGTTTGCATTAAGATGTGTTCTCCTTTTCAAATAAACATTGAAGTCTTATTTTTCATCATAAATTTAGGCTTTGGTGTGAAACTAAAGAGTTATCAATAAATCTATTCAATTTTTTTTTACTCAGTTTTTAAAAACAATTTAGTCTGAAATTAATACATTGATTTTAAATTAAGGCTATGTACTTCCAAAATATTTTTCCACAAAACCATATTCCTTCTGACTTGTATATTTAACAGGGCTATAAATTACCGGTAAATGGTACTTGGAATATCCTACGTGGATTTCCTAACTGGGCCTTCCTGAAAGCAGAGAAGAAACCCAAACAGGACTCCAGTCAGCCAACAGGTGAAAAGGAGGAACCCAGACCCAGACCAGTGGTCATTCCATATGTTGA